GCACCACCCGGAGGAGGAGGAGGGGAGCACCACCCGGAGGAGGAGGGGAGCACCACCCGGAGGAGGAGGAGGGGAGCACCACCCGGAGGAGGAGGAGGGGAGCACCACCGCGGAGGAGGAGGAAGGGAGCATCACCCGGAGGAGGAGGAGGGGAGCACCACCCGGAGGAGGAAGGGAGCACCACCCGGAGGAGGAGGAGAGGAGAACCACCGCGAGGGCCTGTGAGCACTCACGGCAGTTGGCCTCGTCCTGGCCGCGCTCGCAGTCCTGGCGGCCATCGCAACGCTTCCAGTTGGGGATACACTTCTTTGGCTGGTGGCATTCAAACTCGAATCGGTCACATCGCCCATGCTGGGTGAAGGTGGAGGCTGCGGTGACATTGGCTGGAAAACAGGTGAGTTCTCAAGTTCGGTGGCCACTCAGGCCCTGCGCTGGATTCTCTGGGTGAGGAGGGCGTGGTGCTCTGGGAGCACGGTGGAGGTCTGGAGACACAGTGAGCTCACTGCATGCCGCACCTCGCTTTGCTCCTCAGAGCAAAGCCCAGCACGGTCGCTGTGGGGTGGAGAGGCGCCGCCCTGCCTCAGCCAAGGGCGGGAGCTCACTGGACAGGGCGCTCACTGGACAGGGCCTCGGGTCCACCGGCCTCCAGCAGCAGTGCTGCGCAGACCCTGAGCTGCCCGCCCTGAGCCACTAGATGGCAGTGCTCACCCTCCTTTTAGCCGGGCAGGCCAGCCAGCCATCATGCAAAGCAAAGCAAAAACAAAACAAGAAACTGGCCCTCCCTCGAGGGAGTTTAACACAGGAGTGTCCCTGGGCCGGGCGGTGCAGGCAGACTCACCCACAGTGGGGCAGGCTTCCTCGTCCGAGCCGTCGGCACAGTCCCGGTACCCATCGCACACCCACGTGTCCATCACACAGGCCCCATGGCTGCAGCGGAAATAATTGGGCAGACAGGTGGAGGGCCCCGGCGTGGGGGAGGGCGGGACGTGCAGATCTGAGGGAGACACCAAGCCGGAAACATGTTGGGGGGGCGGGAGGAGAGGTGACTGAAGTTACCGCGTCCCCCATGGATCCTGCTGGGGACCTCCCCGAGCCTGCACTGGCCGTGGAAGCCGGGGACGGGGGACAGGGCCACCACGCTGCAGCCCTTGAAAGGGGCTTTGGCCATTTCCCGCGCGTTGGCACGCGTGCTGCGGGAAGCTCGCGATGGCCGAAGGGGGGACCTTGGAACCCCCGGTGTGGGCAAATGTCACCCTAGTGAGCTCCTCACCACAACCCCATGGCCTGGTTTGCAGGTGCGGAAGCCAAAAGGGACATGGAAGCCCGCACGCCCCATCGGTGCCCTGGGGCCATCCCAGCCCGCCGCAGCTGCGCCCTGGGTCCAAGCCCACCCGCGGGGCCGCACACCCCGCGGCAAACCCGCGGCGCTGCCCGGCACCCTGGCAAGAGCAAGACTAGAATTCCCCCACAAACCACCCTGGGAATAACACGGCCACCAGCACTGCAAACGAGAACGGGAGAGACAGAAGAACTCAGCGACTGCCCCAAAGGACAGGCCCAGGACAGCACGGAGTCCAGGCAGGCAGTGAACGGATCTGGGAGGCAGGCTGGGGGCCAGTCCAGTCCCCCCTCACCTCCACAGTCCCTCCTCACCTCCACAGTCCCCCCTCACCTCCACAGTCCCTCCCAACCAGTCCCCCCTCACCTCCACAGTCCCCCCCTCACCTCCACAGTCCCGCTCACCTCCACAGTCCCGCTCACCTCCACAGTCCCGCTCACCTCCACAGTCCCGCTCACCTCCACAGTCCCGCTCACCTCCACAGTCCCCCTCACCTCCACAGTCCCACTCACCTCCACAGTCCCCCTCACCTCCACAGTCCCGCTCGTCCGACCAGTCCCCACAGTCATCCTCGCGGTCGCACTTCCAGCGGTTGGGGATGCAGTGTCCGTTCTCGCAGCGGAACTGGAAGTAGCGGGAACAGCTGGGGGCCTCGGTGGGGTTTTCTGCAGAGATCAAGGACCCCGTGAGCAAGGCCATACCACGACCATCAGCTCCGGGCCCACATGCAGGCCACGTGCATGCCCTCCCCCTCCGGAGAGGGAAGTGCGAAGGAAAGAGGAAGGGAGCAGCCTCGCGACCCAAGCCCACAGATCCGCAGCCTCACCCCCCACTGTCCCCACAGATCCGCAGCCTCACCCCCCACTGTCCCCACAGATCCGCAGCCTCACCCCCCCACTGTCCCCACAGATCCACAGACCCA